CTCTATGATTTGTTTCCTACTGTCTTGAACCCCATCAAATATGGTGTGGTGTAAAAAACTCCAGAGGGCGGCCAGGGGGTGGCCCCAACGGCTCTTCCCCTGGCTACCCAGGTTCTGAGGAGCCAGGGCTGCCCCCTCCAGTTGGGGCGGTCCGAGTCCTGGGGCAGACAGCAGAGGAAGCTAGGGACAAGCCAGTTGATTGATTAGATGCCATTTATTCCATTCTCATCCCTCTTCACTCCTGTCCTCTCTCTCTCTCTCTCTCTCTCTCTCTCTCCTTCTTTCCTGGGCCCAATCTGGATCCCCTCTCTCCTGGCTCTGGTTCTGGATCTCGATCTCTGTCTTCTCCCCCAGCTCACTCTTACAGTCTCATTAAATCCATAAACCATGAGAAGCTGGTCTTATACATAGGTGTGGTCACAATCAATAGGGGTAAAGTTCTTTCCCTCAGGGAATGCTGCCTCTAGGACAGATTCTCTTTCAGCGGGATGACCTAACCAAAGGCAGAATCCCATGGCTGTGTTTCTCCTCTCCTTGTCCAACAAACATATAAGCATTCATAATATTAATCATTTTGTATGGACACAGTAAGAGATGCTTTAAGCTTATAGAATTGGGGTCATGGTCCTGGGGTCATTTCGATCTCAGACTACAGTGCTCAGGTCAGATAGTCTTTCCTATCCCTAGCAGGGTCCTAGTCTCGTCGTTACTTTTGGATCATGACAGCATTTGTCATGATCAAGCTCTTAACTGATAGTTAGGAATTGTGGCGCTTTGGCCAGGCCCATCTCAATGCCAGGGTAGCACATAGCTTACCACTTGCCCTGGTTCCATCCAGTCCCTCCTCAGGACCCTGCTTTTGGAGGTGCTAGGAAGTGAGGGAAACTGAGGCTTAAGTTGAGAAAGCAGATGTCCAGGAGTGAATAATATTCAAAGCCAATTAAATCCCATGTTACAAAAGCATAATATTAATTGTCTTCTTGTGTCTATACAAAAGGACATTGCTTTAAAATAAACTATTCAAAAGACATAAGGAGAGGAGAAAGGCAATATTAGCTTACAATATAAGTTCAGTGTTCTAGAAAGATCTTACCTTACAATTAACTGAAACTGATTAGGGGAATAAGCTGATTAACTGTTTGGAGAAGAGAGCATAAAGTTGTTACAAATCAACAAAAGAATGGGAGTCTTCAAGAGCTCTGGGATGGGTGTGACCTGATAAACCTAAGCTACCTGAGGAAGGACAAAACAGTGTTATCCTACAGTGTGGCAATTATAGAAAATGGGTAGAAAGTGTCCTATAATGTGTTGCGTGGGTCCAGAAATTGACCTGGAGTGTGGCGGCGGTTGGGTAATGGAGTATGTGAGAAGCAAAACCATGTATGTGTGGACTCTAATCACTGCGACATGAAAAGGGGAAAGGAAAGAAAAATTAAAAATAAGCAAATAAAGTGTTTTCTTTCCCAGAGAAATTTCTGGATAAATAAAACCTTAAATGGAATATTTGATGTACCCTTACTGCTTAATAACAAATTTTAATGATCAGGACAGGGCATATTTCTTCTGAGTTAGAGTTTGTTTGATAAGGAAGTGATTTGTGAAGCAGAAAATAATCATTGCTATTGAAATATATCCAAGAGAGGGCCAACTTCTTAGAAAATAAATGAACATAGTGTTTTCTTGTTATGCACACTAACCCTGAGACAAAAGTTTTCAACCAAGATTCTCAACCTGTCCTGATTTTAAATAGCTTCTAATTTTCTTAAACTAAACTTATTTGTTTGTTAGGGAAAGTTGTGCCTTCTTAAAGACACAGACATGTATTTCAAGCATATATTCAAGAGCTTGAATATATTCAAGAGTTTCTTCACTCCATTGAGACGCCCTCTTGAAATATGACTCCATTTGTGTTTAACTGAATATGTTTTCCCCTTTGTATATAGAAAACTCACATACATATCCTTTTACTACCAAACCAAAACAAAAGACACATCTATACCATATAACTTATTATTAATAATTCTAGATTATTTATTTCAGCCTTACAGTATAAACTTTTAAAAGTAATTTTCATTTCTACTTCACTGGCATATGCTAATACTAAATTAACATTTAAAACTCATGTCTTAAGGATGTTTTGGGCTGAATTGTTTAGTACTATGTGTTATTATATCTTTGCCTTCTTGGCAAACTTGGCCTAACTTTGTATAACTTTGGCCTAACCTTGCCTTCTGTGTATGGTTCTATTATGTTTACAAACAAGGGGCCATTATAAATGTCTCTTTCTAGCAGATTAAAGTATATAGCGGAGCTGAAATGATTACATTTTGACAATGGGCCTTTAAACATTACAATGTTTCACCACCTTCAAAAACAATTTCTCATACAATATTGCTATAACTAATCTATTGCTTTAGTCTTTAGAGAGTAAGGTCGTTTTTTTTAATGGAAGTAATATGTTTGTAGGATTATATAGAATTTTAGATGCACATCATTATATATATATATATATATATATTTTAATTTATTGAATCACTGTGGGAAAGGTTGCAAAGCTTTCAGGTTTAGGTCTCAGTCATGCAAATATCAAACACATTTCCCTTTACCAATACTTATTTTTTACCATGAAGAACCCCAATAAAACCCCATCCCCCATCCCTCCCCGTCCCTGTGAGGCAGATGAATTCTAGTTAACACTCTATCTGCTTTGATTAGATTCATTGTTTCAATAAAAGATTCACCACTATTATTTAGAGTTTACCCCCCCCCCCCCAAATCAGACATGCTGAAAAAGCATTGTGAAGTGATTTGCTTTCTACAGCTGGGTTCAAGAATTAAATGTTGGTTTTGGATTTCTGCTATTTTACCTATTGACCCTGGAACTATTTCTACTGAAAGTCAGATAGTTAAGAAATTGGTTTCTGTGTTCTGGAGTCGTGGCCGTGCTGGAGAGCCGCTAGTGGGGGGCAACAGGTGGCCTCGGTAGGGCGTGAAGGGCGGACCGAAACGCCCCCCTTCCCATGAGGTTTTAGTCGCCCCCACACTCCCGGCTCATACCTGCTGTCCACAAGGCTCCCATGTGGCCGCCATCTTTCTTTCCAGAGAGGAGAGGGCGAATGGGGCAACACCCTTTCCCCTCCGGCAGACTTGATGGCCTGGATTAACGCATAGTCTGTTCACTTTTCTGCTCCAAGCTGCCGGGTTCTGCATTAAGTCCTTGTGCTTCTGGGGCCGTGGCTGGATGCACATCATTATAAATCAGCATGTGTACATATCATATTAAGTTCTCCACTAACAATCTAATTTTATTCTTCACCAAACAATGGATCTCTTTGAACTGATTTACTTAACACTACCCCCTTTCCTTCAGGTTCCTACCAATTTGATCTTATAGTATAAAAGTTTGATTTTGTTTGATTTAATCAATTTGTCCTTTTTTTCTGCACCACATGTGAGTTAAACCATTTGAAAATCAGTTTTTGAAAATCTTCTTCAGAAGCCGATCCGATTATGTTCAAAATTTCGGTGATTAAATTATTAAGTAAAGCTAAGTCCCCTCTTGTCACAAATGAATAATCATCTACCCCAGATACATTTTTTTAAGTCAGGATCCTTTTACATGATGGGATCATGGTGTAAGAGGCTTACGACTTCCCATTCTTTGTCAGCTTTCCATAAAAGATTTCAAACCCATCCAGGAATCAACTCTGTCTTTCACATTTCCAGCTTGCCCTTTTTCTACAATCACACATTTATTTCTATTCACCTAAACACCTAAATGTTTGTGTTTGTCAGCAGTGGTAGACAGGGTAGACAGTCTTCTCTCTCTTTCTCTTCTCTCCCTCTCTCTCTCCTCTCTTTCTCTCTTTCTCTCTCCTCTCTTTCCTCTCTCCCTCTCTCTCCTCTTTCTCCCTCTCTGTCTCCCTTCCCCTCTCTCACCTTCGTCCCCTCCCCCTCTCTCTCCCTCTCTCTCTCTCTCTCTCCCTCTCTCTTTCTCACTCTCACACATTATAATTTCATAAAGTGACAATAGAAAGTTCAGAACCTGTCGCCCACACCTTACAGTAAGCTAAGGGAACCAGCAGTCAGCTTTCTCTAAATGTCAAGTGTTCAGCTTACCTCCCTCCATTGGAAACTGAATAGAACTGTAACCTTCGAAAAGTAAGTCCTTGGATTTGAGCAAAGCTTTCAAAAAATTGTGGGTTCAAAAGATTGCTTTCCCTACAAGGGCTGTGTGATTTGATGATTCCAGTTTCCTCCTCCTTCAGGCTCAATTCTCGGCAACACCAGCTTGGTGTTGGATTTGCCCTGATTGCAGGAAGAAGCAGCAGACAAACAGCAGGTGATTTTTTCTCAGGTCTGTCTCTGTAGGCTCCTGCAGAGTTATGTGTATAGAGAGGAGGGGGCTTTGGTGGTCTTCCTTTTCAAATGCAACTTCTTTTCCTTTAACAATCCAACCTGCTGTACACCATTTCATACTTCGCTATTAGTGCTGCCTGGGCAATAAAGGATTTGTGGGAAATACAAGGTAAGCCTTGAATTAGGCTATCATTACCCCATTCATGCGAATCTCCAAGTATTGTGTCCGAAGGTCTCTGCGGGGAGTTAGCAAGAACCTAGGCTCAGGGGTCCAACCATCATATTTTGTGTGTTGTTCAGATAATTTTGCAACATTCAGACAGAAAAGGAATGCATTTAAACAGATAGGCATGATGTGGACTGGAGATTTAAGCAAGCAATCAGAGGCACGCCAGGAAGAAAGGCCAGGCCAGAGGGAGGGGTTAAAAACAAATGTTCATTTTCTATGTCACTCAAAAAAAAAAAAAGAATCAGCTTGAAATTATAATTACCCACCTTGTTCTGCAGCTCAGAATAAAAGTGACGTTGCACTGAACTCCACCAAGCAGCCATCGTGATTAGAAAGTACTCCACACCTTAGAGAACTGAGGAGACATGAGCATCATTTTAAATGCAAATTAAATTGAGGGGGTAGCAGAGAGAACACATCAAAGACAGTAAAACAAAACCTTTCAATTTTCTTAAATTAGCAGTCTAATGTGTTCTAAAGAGCAGCTCCCCTCAGATCTCATCTGAGGGGTTGAATTTCATCACAATATAAAATAGGCAAATCCATCACTTTCCTCTGCTCAGTGCTCTTGAATTGAAATTGAAGGGAAATGAGAAGCTGTTCATTTGGGTTCCTGGGCTCTGCCGCGTGCACAGCAGCTGCAGTTTAGACTCAAGTGTCCTGCTGAACAGGGTCAACAAGTGCTGGTGAGTACCTGCTAACTTCAGACTCTTCCTTTCCTCTGTCTTTCGGGCTACCTTTCCTGTCCAAAGCACTCGCTTGCGGGGAGGATTCTCCCCCAAAGATTTCTGTTTAGAATTCATCTTTCAAAACCCGGGAAATTCCAGGCAGCTTTTTAAGCTTTTTTTTCCAGTGACTGCTTCACAGAAGGGAAGTTATTTTCAGCCTAGATGCTGGTGACTGATCTGTACGTTAATTATAACAGGGGAATGTTGAACATATGCTAGGTAAAATAGCCTTTTTCCGACCACCCTGAGCCAACCTTTCAGGTAAGAACTGGGACCCCTGACAATTTCCAGACAACTTTCCTCTTAAATTAGCTGCTTAATCATGTAATTCGGTGGGAGTTGCAAATCAAACTGGGACTGGGAAAATAAATGATTAAAATCGCAAACTGTTTTTTTTTTAAATGACTATGGAATTTTTCTGCATAAGAGATGGGAGGGGGAGTGAAATGAATAGACCCACGTGATAGTTAGATGTAGATCTTGATGGTGATGGTTTTCTGCCAAATTTTACACAGCAAACTGGTCATTTTCTTTCTTCACAGAGGAGGCTACAAAGAGGCTGGGGCTGGCGTCACCTTCTGTTGCTAAGGTAACGTGTTCTGGCCATTTTATCTGCAAAAGGAAGTTTAGTGGACAGTATACATTATTCATCATCGTGCTAATCAAACAATCAAAATTGTTTACTTTCACTGGGAATATTTAGTGCTATGAAAGCCACTTAGGCTGAAAGAACTCTTGCTTTTCCTGCTGGAAATTATTTCTTGATATAGCTAAATCTATCCATTTTGCAGTAAGTATAAATTTCTGTTGTGTATTTATTTTTTAAGTTTTCTCTTACTGGCCTTAATTTCTTGAAATATGCACTGGTAGAAAGGGAAAGCTATTGAACTGAAGCCTTCTTTGATTTTAATGTTGATTTTTCTTTCCCCAAACATCCTGAGAAATAGAATTACTTTGTTTGTGAAGTGTCAGAGAAAAGCTATGCTAGAGAGAACCCAACAAGCTAAATGTTTTTCAATGATGTGTATTAGCTTTCCTGACAGGCTACTATGTGATCATATTATGGGGTTCATTGCAGTTCTGAGATAATTATCTCCACTTTGCAAACTAGCAATTTTTTTTTTCTCAAAAGCAGCCTGTTCCAGGGGCAGGCAGGTGCTGATCTTAGGGCACTTTACAGAACATGTGAGGAAGTCTCTAAAAGGAAGGCATTTATTTTACAGCACACATGTCAGGCTGTGTTAGACACACCAGTCAGATCTCTGAGCAGCAGCTCTGATTCCCAGGAGAAGCTCGCTGCTCAAGGGGAATTGGAACTCCCTGAATCAGTTGGGGATCGATATTCATAACAGCTGACACTTAATGATGTCATTTATCAGACATGCCTTTGAAAACTGATAGCATGTGAATAGAACTGAACATCTTCCAGTTAATACTCAGCAAGGAAAGCCTGGTATGTGATCTCTCTTTAGCCTTCATCAAATGTTATTTCTGAGCAGAATAAATTATCTTTAATGGATGTTGGTTTAATGCTGCCTTTTCTCAGATAGAAGGAAAGCTATGCTGACGGGTAGAAATGTTAATCAAATAACATATATTATTATGATATAAAAGAAGAGATATTTCTTATTCTATAATTAGACACGTAGGCAGATACTTCTGTATAGAAAGGACCTTTGCATTTTTATTTTACAGTTTAAAATTTCGTGACTTTTTTCCTCTCTCATAGGTTTCCGAGTGACTGTTTTCTTTCAAAACTCTGTGCTTTGAACATTAAGGATGGATTATCCCAAAATGGATTATTTTCTGGATGTCGAGTCTGCTCATAGACTCTTGGATGTTGAGTCGGCTCAAAGATTCTTCTACAGTCAAGGAGCTCAAGGTAACCCAGTGGGGGAGAGAGAAGGGCTTCTTTTTTGTAGGGGGCTTTGATCTTAACAGCCCTGTCCACCCAGTTCTCCTGCAGATGCTCAACAATTGGGATCTCTAAATTAGTCACCTCTTGGCCTCTTGCTGGGAGGGAGGCAGTCATATAACACGCTGAGTAAATTCAAACTTCTCGGATGTGGTTTTAAGATAAAAACATAAAATAAATAACCAGGACACCCCCTTTTGGGTGCAGATGTCTCCAGCAGAGAACTGTTATAAATGGATCCCCCACCTCCTGCACAAATGTGGAAGGTAATATGGATGCTTTTACCTCCCTGAAAAGGCTGAATTGTTCACGGAGGCTCCTGAGATGCGGGTACCCTGACCTACGTGCTGAAATCCTGCTGAATTAGGGCTCCTGAGTAAAGCAGTGAGCTTCTCCAGCTGCCTTATCTATTTTAGATGAATGCAGTTACCTACCACCTTAGGGAATTAGCAGTGCACTTGGAGAGCAGAAAGGAATGGCTGGTTGTGAAATGTGGCTGATCCGTGCATTTTGTTTTGTTGTTATGTTTTGTTTTGTTGAGTTCTAGGATGGAAGTTAAGGCCTCACACGTACATGGCAAGCACTATGCTGCTGATCTATGTCCCTGGCCCTGTACATTTTATTACCTACTTCAAGATGGGCAGTTAGACTCCTGCGGGCTCAATCTCCTGTTCCAGTTTGCAGTTAATGTGTTCTGCCAGCATGTGAGAGTACAGAAAGGAGCAGGAGTGTTTGATGGGATCTCCTGTCACGCAGGAGATTTTTTGAAAGCTTGTTTTCTTTTTTCCATGGAGTGTTTGGGCTATCCAGTCAAAGCCACCTGATGGTGGCCAAATCCCAGCAGTCCGAGGAGGGAGTACCATCCATTTTCTTAAATGAAAAAGCAGTTGGGTTTCTGGAAGTCAAGAACTGTGCTGTGAAGGAGAGGCTGTTTAGGTCATGCTGGCACCTTCACTGCTCAGAGCCAATGGTACTGCACAAGGGGCACATTTAATAGTCTTCCTCGGCTGTCCCTCTGTCTTTTCTGAATTGGCTTCATTTCACTTTGAAGTCAATTTTTCAGTGTAGTCTCAAATGCCTGCAAGCCTCCTGCTTCTTTGTTTCTGTTTTCCTGGGCTTGATTCAGTCTTCTGAAAGTAAAGAGGGGCTGAGAATTACACAGTGGGTTTGCTCAGGTCCGTGTGTACATCAGCAAAGTTTATATTAGCAAGTCAGATAAAATACTAAGCTCTTCTCAAGCTTCTGGTTGCATGGAACTAACAGAGCCCCTCTCAACCACCTAAAGAGACATTAAACTGTTACTGAACTAGAAGAAAGAGGCTGGCTAGAGCCACCAGCCTTTTCTGGGTCTGCCACATAAGCAGGTAGAGATATGAAGCCAAAGGGGTCTGGCTCAATCCCATCACCATCTTGATTTAAACATTGTTAAATTGGGTCCTCTCGATTTAAATGAGATAATAGGGCTCGGGTCATGTCATCTTCCTGAGCTGGTAGAGTGGAGAATGGCAATAGTGGGCAATTACTGTTGAAAAAAAAATAAAAACACCACTCAGTCCTATAGTTGGAATGGTGTAAGCCATTGAGAATGTAGATGCTAGGCTTCAGGAATTGGAGAGGCCGTGGGAGGCTTAGAAGACTCAAGCATCTTGGTGGAATGCTTTTACAATTGGGCCAGGACAAAGGACTGGACTACCTAACAGGTGCTGAGTTTTTATTGTCTCTGATAATCCATGAGGCAAAGAAGTCGTGCTCTCATGTCACAGATCAGAAAAGATAATAGCAGAAAGATTAGGACTTGTATCCAGCTATATCTAATTCAGTAAGTCCACAGGGGATGAAGTGCCCAAATCATACTTCCAGGAGGGAACAGAGGCTCAAGCTGAGCTTCAAGCACAGGCTCCAGGCATAAACTACTAACAAGAAGGTGGAAGTCACAGCTAGATCTTTTCTTACTTCTGTGTCCGTTCTCTGCACTATTTGCCCTATTCCTATGCACTGTCAATATTCTTGGACATTTAAGTCACCTCCAAAAGGGAAAATTCATTACAAGGCAACTAATTGAATAAAGTCACTAGGCAATTAAATTTATGACTCCTGCTGACAATTTCCCCTCTTCTATCATTTTAAGTAACTCTTGGCATTGGAACCAGGTGCTGTAGGCATTGTTATTTCATAATAATGCGCCTTTCCTGTCATCTACATTGTCTTGTGTAACAAAAGGAAATTCTGGCTTTGACAATTGATGAATAATAGCGCAGTATGCAACTTTCCTCTTCAAGTTGTATTTGGAAATCAAGAGGAATTCATATAACCACCCAATCACTTCTTGCTCCTCAACTCCTTCTAGCATAACCTTTTGCCCATCCTGTGAAGTCTGTCAGAATAGCTGACTTTTTGATCTTTAAGTAAATTATGCTCTAGACCTAAATTCAGAAACTCTGAGACTTCTCAGCTTGGCCCCAGGAGACAGAGACTGGGGGAGGGGGGCACTCAAGTATTGACAAATCATTGCCAACGGTCATAAGTCAGACTATGCTCAGACCCTGGGGCCAGTTCACTTTTGGGTGCTGATTATAAGACTTAACTGGTGCCAACACTCCTGTGATACCCATCCTAAAGTTTCTAGGCCTTTCTTTCATAGCAGTCTTGTCTATATTACATCTAAGATTGCACTCTATCAATTGGATTCCACACACGAAGTGCACAAGCTCACATAGATGGTTTCACTTTTGTAAGCCTCAGGCTTCTCATCAGAAGGAATACAATGCTAGCTCCAAATTCAGTGTTTTCTCTTAAATTCAGGATGTATGTATATAAAGTTTTTAGAAAATCATTTATATTGACCACTTATTAATGTCATTTTATTATGACTTGGGCTGGAGCGATAGCACAGTGGTAGGGCGTTTGCCTTGCATGCAGCCAACATGGCCGACCCGAGTTCGATTCCTCTGCCCCTCTCGGATAGCCTGGCAAGCTACCGAGAGTATCTCGCCCACACGGCAGAGCCTGGCAAGCTACCCGTGATGTATCCGATATGCCAAACACAGTAATAACAAGTCTCATGATGGAGAACGTTACTGGGCCCGCTCGAGCAAATCGATGAACAACAGGAGGACCTTTACCTTTACCTTACCTTTTTATTATGACTTATATGTCTAGCTCCACCTGGTAAACTCCTTAAATAGCATTTTCTAAGTACCTTGAACTATTGTTGATATGCAACAAAAGATCTCATATTTATTCAGTGTCCCTGTTTATCTGAAATATTTGCATCTTATAACAAAGAGAAACTTGGAGTGTATAAAAGAACTTTAGGTGATTCAAATATTTAGAAAATAAAAACTCCTAGAACCATTAAGAAATTAAAGTATTTAAGGCTCATAAGATGGTTCAAGTGGTAGTGTACATGCCTAGTATGTGTACAGCCCTGAATTAATCCCTGGCATTGCGTAGCCCCCAGAGCACTGTTGAATGTGACCTTGGTGGCCCCAGCTGGATAATCCCACAAAATAGCATTTCATAAAAAATAGACTTTGCTTCAAATTGAAGGAACAGATAAAATTAATTTTCAGATTCATACATAGGCCGGAAATGGAAGAAAATTATAATTCCACATCTGTTAAGCAAGAAAAAATTCATCAAAATAGAGAAAAAAAATACTGTGGGAGGAATTCAATGCATTACTGAAGTGAATTAACCTTTTAAAACAGATTTCCAAGGATCTCTGAAGAGTACCACTTAGAAGGACTTTTTAATATATAATAGCCTATGATGACTGAGTTTTTATTCTGCCTTAAAGTAGAATTATGAAATAAGTAACCACTGAACATTTACTGTGATAAATTGAATCAAGATCAATTCAAAATCGGCTCTGAATATGTTCAAGAAATGAGCGCCGAGCTACGTGTTCATTGGGGATCCCTTCCCATTTCTTCCTTGGATCATTAATGCCTACTCCAGTCCAGACACTACTGGGTTCAACTACCAACCAGCTTCTATCACTTTCCTGCCTCCAGTCAGACAAAATGGCAGGTGCTGTAGAGAGTCAGTTAAGTGCTCCCTGCCCCTTACCCAGCCAGCCCGGAGGCATGACATAGGAAAGCTGGCAAAGGCATTTTAGAAGCATTGATGAGTGGTTGCCAGACTGCCATCCTTCTCTGTGTTAGAAGGAAGACAATAATTTTCTAAAAGTCTTTCCGACTGTCCTCAAGGTCTTCCTGCCCGGGATTTAGATCTAGTTTCTATCTGAACCTATAAATCTAAATTGCTCCAAAATGAAAACAAAAACCTAAGGTAGAACCAGAGAAGGTAAAGCAAGTTGGTCCCCTCCGGGGGCCTGATTGCCTCCTGAATGATCGTTTTTGTCATCTATAGTTTAATGTCTTCATACTAGGTGAGATAGTTGGGTGGAACCGGCAAGTGTGATCCCTCTGTGTCCTTTTGGCAAGGCCTAATCTGTTTATTTGTGTTCATGCTGAGAAGTGATACTTTCATTTTCTTTTTTTAAAATTTTATTGAATCACCTTGAGATAGTTACAAGCTTTCATGTTTGGTTTACAATCACACAATGATCAAACACCCATCCCTCCACCAGTGCACATTCCCCACCACCAAGTATCCCCGGTATACCCCCCCTTTCCCACCCTCCCCCTGCCTCCATGGCAGACAATATTCCCCACACTCTCTCTCTACTTTTGGGCATAATGTTTTGCAATACAGACACTGAGAAGTTATTATGTTTTGTCCTTTATCTATACTCAGCACACATCTCCCGTCCCGACCAGTTCCTCAAGCCATCATTTTCTTAGTGATCCTTTCTCTATTGCAGCTGCCTTCTCCCCTTTGCTCATGAGTCAGGCTTCCACAATACCACTTCTGGGAATAAATCTCAAGGATAAAAAAAAAACAGTAGAAATGATACTTTCATTCAAATGCAGCTTCCAGCCCTGTTGTGGGAGCACAAGTCATCCCCTCAACAAACAGTTGTTTGTGGTTTGGATATTCTTCTTACCAGCCCCCAACTAGTCAGGAAGCAGCATGCTGTGCTTCACTCACGGGTGACAAGCTAACTACCAAGCCCTCCCTGCTAACATCCCACACACTCCATTTTAGACCTCTAATTGCTCACACCCAGGCTTTCCAAACCTGTGTTTAATACAGGGAACATTTTGTGTGAAGGAGCGACTGAAGGCAAATCAAGAGGAAAAATATTGTGGAAATAACCAGCCTGCCAATTTCATCCATATGTATGTAGATGGCAAGGAAATCTTCCATTTCTATAGCGTGTCCTTGGAACAATACTGTTATCTGCCCCCCGCCCCCCCCCCAAAAAAAAGCATTTCAATTCTGAGTGCCAATCATAGGTTACCTGAACACAGGCTCCAATGCTCTTTGTGCCTTTACCCCCAACTATCTGATCACGAGCACGATCACGATCATCCTGTTGTTCGTCGATTGCCTCGAGCAGGCACCAGTAACATCTTCGTCCTAGCCCTGAGATTTTAGAAGAGCCATATTCAATGCTCTTTCAGGGTTAGGAGAATGAAACCCATCATTTTTACTGGTATTTGGCATATTGAGTACGATGTGGGAAGTTTGCCAGACTCTGCCATGAGGGCAGGATACTTTAGGTAGCTTGCCGGGTTCTCCAAAGTAAGAACAAGATAATAAGATGTCGCTATCTGATATCTATGTAAAGTGAGTCAGAGCTTATATGGGGCCAGGAAGAGAGAGGATGAGACACAGAGAAGAAACTCCTATGAAAAATGCAGTGAAGGGGGCTAGAGCAATAGCACAGTGGGTAAGGTGTTTGCCTTGCACACGGCCGACCCGGGTTCGATTCCCAGCATCCCATATGGTCTCCTGAGTACCGCCAGGGTAATTCCTGAGTGCAGAGCCAGGAGTAAGCTCTGTGCATCGCCGGGTATGACCCAAAAAGCCAAAAAAAAAAATTCAGTGAAATCATCCAAATGAATTAATAACTCTCATTTGAGAGCTATTTAGGAAACAGAAGCCATTTAAGAAAGTGGATTGAAGATTCAGCGTATACACATCTGTACCAGCAATGACTATTTAGCATACACAAATAACAGATTCTTGGGGGAAAATGCTCACACCTCATTACCCAAGCATCCATTTTCTCAAAAACTTGTGACACCCTCAGTGACTGAGCTAAGGCAGGGAAAGGAAGGGTAGCACATCAAAATCAGCTCATGCTCAGTATCATTTTCAGTATTTGAATGCATATCTCAGTAGTAACTTAGACCTATACTCATATAAAACCATCAATAAATATTACTCTCTTTTTATATCTATTGTTTAAAAAAACTGAGAGGTTATTTTGTAGATCTGTGCATCTTTCATTAATAAAAGAAAAACAAAAATAACATTAAATAATTTTATTTTAAAATTAGGAAGAAGCCAACCGTATTCAAATCACATAGTACTCATTCATATTTTACAAAGTTGAAATTGTACCATCTACAAAATTCGAGTGTGAATGAAATGTTTTCAGGTACTGGCCAATGAGCATCTTTGTGTTTTAGAGCTTGAAGTAAAACAATCAGAGTTTGAGTTCAGACCATGATTTTCTCTTCCTAGCTGTGACAGATGGCAAGCTAATTCATTTTTTTCTTTGCCTCAATTTTCTATTTTGAATGAAAATGATTACACTAAGAGTTCCTAACCCAAACCATTATTTGGGGAATTAATTCAAACAAAGTATCATTTCACAAAGTATGGTACAATATATTATTTTCAAATAATACATAAATTATCTTTATGAGCATATGTTTATTTTAGAAAATACAAATTAATTTTTATTTAGATATGAAAATTTGCAACCAGACTTTCAGCTTATGAACAATTGCTTAGAACAAAATGAAGAGATAAGTTGTCTAAATAAAAATAACTAGTAATTAATTGTACAGATGACAATGATTTAGGAATGACAAAAGTTTGTCAATGCTGAACAAATAAATATGAACTATTCACACATCTATAATAAATTTTAGCTCTTTGATTAATTGTGTTTTGCTTTTGTCAAATCTCAGGAGAAAATGATGACCCCAGCTTCCCCAAAGAATAAGTTCCAACCTATCATAGCTTTTAAACCCTTGTGTCAAAAATTCATTCCAATTTCAAATTTCTAAGCCGGCTGGAGCGATAGCACAGCGGGTAGAGTGTTCGCCTTACAAGCGGCCAACATGGCCGACCCGAGTTCGATTCCTCCGCCCCTCTCGGAGAGCCCGGCAAGCTACCGAGAGTATTGGATATGCCAGACACAGTAACAACAAAGTCTCCAATGGAGACGTTACTGGGCCCGCTCGAGCAAATCGACGATCAACGGGAGGGCCTTTACCTTTACCTTTTACCTTGAAAACATGAGGCCATTGTGAAACAAAACAAGAAAAAAGAAAGTTTGATTTATTTTTCACGATAGCACAGCGGGTAGGGCGTCTGCCTTGCATGCAGCCAACATGGCCGACCCGAGTTCGATTCCTCCGCCCCTCTCGGAGAGCCCGAAGCTACCGAGAGTAGTCGATATGCCAGACACAGTAACAACAAAGTCTCCAATGGAGACGTTACTGGGCCCGCTTGAGCAAATCGACGATCAATGGGAGGACCTTTACCTTTACCTTTTTAAGGTAATGTGGTTACAATAGTAAAACTTTGATTTTTAAAACAAAACTGTGACTGAATTCCAAAAACATCTTCTTTGTAGTTCATCTGCCTGCTGGATACTTCCTTCGCTCCTATTCTTTGGGAGTTGGAACCAAGTGGGACTGAAGTCCCTAGAGTTCCAGCACAACCTCAGTTGTCAGTGTGCTCTTCCAGGTGGTGTTTCAATGAATCAGCACTTACCTAGAAATAAGAAAACAGATGTGAAAGAATTCACTTTAGATTGCATTTCTTTTTATTCTACTTCATTCCCTTAAATCACAATTACGATCATCCTGTTGTTCGTCGATTGCCTCAAGCAGGCACCAGTAACATCTCCTTCTTCCTAGCCCTGAGATTTTAAAAGAGACATATTCAATGCTCTTTCAGGGTTAGGAGAATGAGACCCATCATTTTTACTGATATTTGGCATATTGAGTACGACACGGGAAGTTTGCCAGACTCTGCCGTGAGGGCAGGATATTTAAGGATTCCCTTAAATAAAACATAATATTTACCTAGCAGGGAAGATACTGTGACCATAAAGGTGGTTTTCCCAGGACAAGGCTTATCTGTTGCACTCCTGATGTGCTGACCCCTGAGATTTCCCAAAATGTGGGAAAATCGACAGCATAATTTGTGGTAGTCGGGGATTGCATGAACACTCTCCCCTGACCAAACACCTTGCCCCCCAAACCAAACCAAAAAGAACCACAGTAGTGTGTAGAAATTGACATAAGAAAATCATGAAAACAGTGACCCAAGCCCTGTAAACCTTAATAACATTATTGCACCATTATTACTAAGATTAAAATAGCAAAAAATGTATTTGGATTAGTGTACCTTCAATTAATATATATTCTCAACAAACGTGATTAAGGAACAATGTGTCACAATAAAGAAAAGAACATTTTTTGAGTAATTGTTCCATATCTTCAAGAAACTCACAAGCACTATACAAAACTCACAGACACTGTATCCCCTTGTCAAAGCAACACGGCATTTTAAAAGGGAAAAGTGAAAGTTAAGAACTTTCTTTATCTGAAGGGACTTCCTCTGCATCAGTGCTTAAATATATTCTGTTTGTTGGTTCATTTTTCAGTCCAACAGTGCTGGGGCCACCAGGGCTACAAATCCTGCAATGCTCAGTGGACTGGCACATGAGAATTTTACATGGTTGACTTGATTCATGCCTAAACTTCATCCTGGGATTACAGAAAAAAATATTCCTTCCAGAAAGCTAGTACATATAGGCCCTCCATAAAGAGTTCAGTATGACTGCATCATAAAATGCAAGGTGAAGTTATATCTGAGATGGGAGGAAAAAGTAGGTTTAAGGAAAAAGATGATCTTGAAGTTCATATTAAGAAGTTTGTCCTCTATAGAATAAGGAATAGAATATTACAAGAACTTCTAAAGCCAAAAGAAATCATGAGGTTTCTAGGCCCACTGATCGCAAACCTTGCTACATTCCAGAAACATTTATTGTGTAAGCCCTATTAAGGTGAATCCTGGAATTCCAGTTTGGTTTTCTGGGTCTTCCTTATTTTTAAGAAGCTTTGTTTTTGTGTGTGTGTGTGTGTGTGTCTCCCAGATTCTGGGAAGCAAATAAGATGGTGTCTGAAATCTGGGACCTATTGACTATTCTAGTTTTTATACTTTTATAAAATAGAGCTTAAAGAGATAAATAAGTAAAATGGAATAAAAACCCAAGATTACATGTAGCAACAGTTCATCGTTATTTGAACACTAATTCTGTGCCAGGGATTCTTGCTTGACTCAGTTGAACATGAGAAAATATTCATAAATCAACCAGTATATTCACAAAAATAAATTCTGGGAAGATGTATATGTTTCTAGGTTAGTAGTCAGGAGGGGATATCAGTTGTTCTGCCTTTAAGTTATTTTTAGTTAGGAGAAAGAGTATTCTGGGCATTGTGAAACCATCTGATAATACATGAAAATAGATAATATATGAGTGACCAGTACATATTACAGAATAAGAGATATTCTGTAGATTTGGAAATGGAAAGAAAAGATTAAAATAGAAGGCAGCAGTCAAGGCATGTGAGGTTTTGTATACTTACGGAATTCTGAACCTGAAATGTAGTCCACTAAGAATTTAATGCAGAGGAGATCTATTGCTAGATTTGACTTTTTTCAAGACCACCAAGATAGAAGACAGATTAGAGGGAGGTAGAGGCAAAAATGAGAATGACCAGGAAACCACTACAAACACCCAGAAAGTAAGACAACCTGAAAAGAAAATCGAAAGTGAATTAAACAAGAGAAAGGGATCTTCAAATATTAACATTATATGGGGTCAGAGAGATCGTACAATGGGTGAGACACTTGTCTTAAATGTGTCTGACTTGGGTTCAGTCTTCAGCACCCCTAAAGGTCTCCAGAGTGATCCCAGAGCACTTTAAATCCAGGAGTAAGCCCTGAATACAGCTGGGTGTGAGCCAAAAACAAAATAAAAAAACTAAAAAATTTAAGATTCTTTACAGATTATGTGGGCTGGAGAGATAGCATGTAGGACATTTGCCTTGCATGCGGCTGACACAGCCAACCCGAGTTTGATTCCTCCACCCCTCTCAGAGAGCCCGGCAAGCTACGGAGAGTATCTCGCCTGCACAGCAAAGCCTGGCAAGCTACCCATGATGTATTTGATATGCCAAATACAGTAACAAGTCTCACAACGTTACTGGGCCCGCTCGAGCAAATCAATGAACAACGGGAGGACAGTGAAACAGTGATGCAGGTTATGTGATGGTAATGTGAGTTGACTGAAAAATAAAAGAGAGGTACCCCCAATGGTCTCTATATTTTATTTTTACCCTTCGATGAATGATGAAGTTTTTCACTGAGAGAGTAAATATAGAAAGAGAATAAAGATAGAGGGAGAAAGCTAAATTCATTTTATAATTTATTGAATATTATGTTGAACTTGGATAGCTTTTGGAATAACAAAACTTAGATTAGCAGCCAGGAATGAGTTCTGTAAGTCTAAAGATTGGTATAAAGATTTGGGGAAACTATCCAAAATTTTTATGTGCCTATAATAATTTCCCTACCAAGCTTTACAGCTGCCACACTATGTGATTCCACTAGATCTATAATTTTCTTGTCCATAGTATTTAGAGAATGCAAATATTGCTAATGATATATCTTCTTTTGGGGGCTACAAATACAATATTTTCTCCAGAGCACTAAAACTTAACATGAACAGTCCATTTGAAATATTTATATGACGTAAGCATTTGATATTACCAACAATATTTAAAATACTTGTTTGTGTTTTTATAAATCCTGATTTTGGTCATCCAAAGAAAATATGATTTTTTTTTAAATTTTAATGCAGCTCAATCACTACAGGGCCATGAACTGCCACAGAATATTGCTGTCAGGGAGGAAGAAAAAGAGATTCAGCTCTAGCTGGACAAAAATAGACTTTGCTTTTCTTTTGAACCTATGCAGTAAGATCTTCTGTTCCATTTAGTTGATTATGCACTATTTGGTGACTAAATTTGATAGGTGACAGTCAGAGAAAAAAACTACATGGCTTAGCCTAATTTAATCCTTGTCTTTGAAAAGTGAGACTGCAAACATACCATAGGAGTGACTTTTACATTAACCCCAAATTCTCTGCTAACATAATAATCTGGGGTGTGCATTGACTTTGCCAAAGCAGAAGAGAATGAATAGAAAACTCACCTTGTATGTACCAGGAGCATAGTTATTTTTTGCTTTACTCATACTTTAGTCTTGAAGAAAGAAATTTTCATAGTACTTCTTTTCTACTTCTTTTTACAAAATAAGGAATCCGTGTCTCTTCTGAAAAAGTCAAGAAATTTCCTAAACTCACAGAGTTATTAGGAAGTTTGTCATTGTATAGTACAGGAGGTAAGGTGTTTGCCTTGCACGTGGCTGACACAGGTTCAATCCCAGGCATCCCTTATGGTAACCCGGCCCAATGATAGCAATTCCTGAGTGCAGAGCAGGTATAACTCTTAAGCATCGCTAATTATGACCCCCCAAAAAGATATACACATATACATATACATATACATATACATAGTCTAGAGATTCCATAAATATTTAGGATGATTTTTAATCCTTGTGTATTGTCATTTATAGTTCTTCTTTTCCAAAGTCAATTCAGACTAGATTGTTCCACAATAAATCCCAAATTGAGAGATGCCTTAGAGAAAAGCAATTACTCTCTGAAAGCTGTCAGAGCTATTTGATCAGAGCATTGAGAACTTTTCAGTTCTTCTGCGAGTAGCCAATTATGCCCAAGTTTGTCCTAGAACTCCTGGTGTTCTCATTCCATTATGTAGTACTGTTGCTGATCTAAGCAATACTAGGAAAGGTGTCCTTGAGCCTATGTGAGGGCATCTACATATGTTCACTCAGATGCAGAATTTTTCCATGTTATTTTTAAAAGATTTTTAAAAAATGAGTCATTTTATGTAGTTACAATCTTTTAGGTTTATCTTTATATTTTGTTTTGTTTTGAAGTAATTTAAATTTTGTTTGTTTTCTTTGGGACCACACCTGGCAATGTGTAGGATTTACTCCTGTCTTTGTGTTCAGGAGTCATTCTGGGTGATATTTGAGATACCATACACAGTGTCCGGAATAAAATCTGAGTCAGCCTTACGCAAGGCAAGCCCCAAACCCACTGTACTCTCTCCAGCACTGAAATAAAAAAAATTATTTAATGAAATGTGAGGAAGGAAGGAGGGAGAAAGAGAGAGAGAAAGAGAGAGAGAGTCAGACAAAGAGACAGAGACAAAGAGACAGAGAGAGATGTGTTTAAGAGAGAATAAAGACTTCTCCAGAGGAAAAAAAGCCTAGAAAGGTTATATATAATTTCTACAAATTGTGTTGTCCAAGAGTTCCTTACATACATAAAAGTTAAACTGGGTGTTGTGACAGGGCAAAAAGCTTTGGACTATTTATGGTCTTTCCAGATTTTTAATCCCAACTTTTTTATTCTCATGTAGCATCTCCTTTGCTGAAGGGGATCCACCCTTCTCTGGATGGTGCCTTGGTTTCTGCATCTGTGTAGTGTCTCATAATCGACTTCATGTTTGTATTTTTGTTTTTACATAATTTAGATGGAAAACTATCACTGTGGGATGAAGTTGTACCTATCCCTGAGGTCGATTTACAAAGGTGAGGTGGTGCAGGGAAAACAATCTGCCTAAATTCCCAATTTCACACATAACATTTGTATAAGATTTTTTAAAACATAGATGAACAACAAAACAAAACTCAACCATCTCGTTATCTAAAAATAGGCACTATTTATAACCTGCTGAAAATTCTTCCATTCTTTCTCTTATACATGGTTATACACACCCACACATGTATACATTTTTGTAACCTAATCAAAGTTCTTATGTTTATTACCTTTAATTTTCTCTGTTTTGAACAATAAATTGCTATATATATGGTTCATTTAACTGACATAGGGAATAATACGACAGGTTTTGGACTTACAGAAAGGGTCAAGAATAGTTTGTTTTGCCCAAAGAATGGGCTTTTCCAGATGAGTTTATTTGACTGCCATTATTTATTAGACAGAGTTTCTTTCTAATACTCTGTGGTCTGATCTCTGTCATCATCCCATATACAGATCCAATAAAAGTACAAATAAATTACA